GAACGCATGGCACGTCTCATCTCTTTTTTAGATTGCTTTCTTTCACTGATATCCACTATTCTTTCAACAGTGTCCTCTTGCATAATTTTTGTTCCTCAGAAATCTAGACGCACTATAGTGAAGTCTTTGATAAACATCTACAGGGGGGGGGGGGCAAAAAAGAGTCACTTCCCTCCACATTCAAAACGGAATTTAAATACACGTTGCACCAAACCAACCCAAATTGAGCTCAACTGTATATTAAAGAGCACAGTCTAATCTATCAAATAGGTAACATAACAGCGTTCTATACCGACCAGAAGATTTTCCCACCGAAACATGGCTCACAGTACTAGCTCAATCGGGTCGTCGAGGTACCGTAGACCATTACAACGTTCCTGGAACGCTTGAAGAAATTATTTAGCAGCTTAGGCCGGAGCGATTGCGGCAAGCCTCTCTGAGCTCGACGGTGACGGCAGATGACGTCATATTCTGAAGACGGAGGGGCAGTGAAGAAGGGCCTGCTTCTGCTTTTGGCGGGACACCTAAGGAATATTCTGCCGTGAAACATTCATCAACAAACGGCATCCTGTGCGACGAAAACTTGATGATGTGCGCCATGGGCAAAGTGACTTTTTTGGAACCCCCCCCCCTTGTATACTGTGGAGGTTCTATAAGAGTTCAAGTGTTTCTCTTTCAGTATTCCAACTTAGTTACATTTTTAATTATTGATCTTTGTTTTTGTGCTGTTTTCGTATAACGTATATTACGTAGTTGGGCGAACTGTCACAAGCAGTAATACTTAATGGTCATCATGTTTTTATAAGATTCCCTATAAAATTGATGGGGAAAGAGACGGAAATCTTGTTGCTGGAAAAGGCTGAATGTGAATTGAATAGGTTATTGAAGTGATAGGAGATTGGAAAATAGCTCGAACTCTAATACATCGATTAATGAAATGGCTGCGTGACATTTTAAAATAGCTTGCTGGACTTTGAGGCCGGAAATATGAACAGTTGTTAACTCTAGAGGGCTCATCCGATTTGCGGAAGCTGTTACGTGGTTGTCGATCTGTTATCAGCTGGGTGTGTCTGTCGAGCAATGTGCCTCATCTCGTGGTAGTGATTTTATCTCTGTGATAGCGATTTTGGATGGAAATGCCGAATTCAACTTTTTGTCCACAAAAAATCGTCGAGATTGGCTGTGATTTCTGTAGTATTACATCAAGTGGCTATACGTATTCCCTGTGTCATATGAGATGGACGGCAGTACAATTGAAGAAAACGATTGAATGGCATTGTGTAAAAGGACTTACTCTCACTGAAGTACCCGGCAAACACCCGAATAACTTTAGTAGCTGCCAGTTTTAAACGATTTCTGAGGACGAGTTTACACAAATCTACTCATAAGAGCTCGATAAAACAGTTTAAACAGCTGGTGAATGGGTGATTAGCGTCGGCGTGCTTATCGCCGGCTACGCCTTCCACTAGATCGTAATAAGATGTGATCCTTTAACGCTCCTTCGACTATCGTAAGGCTATATGCGATAAACTGTTTTGCGCAAGAAAGAAAACTCATTAATACCGTACAAGCTTCAATCGTGATTGCTGCGTAGCCAGAACCGGTGTACAAGGTGCATGAGACGTTTGTTAACCAGCGGTATTCGTACTTACGGTTGGGAGGACTCAATAATTGATAGGCGATTTATTTATCAAAGGAACATGGTGTTCATTGATTTGCTGATTTGGTTTTTTCAAGGCCGTATATAGTAATATGGTTTAGGGAAATTTGTTGCATGAAGTTTAGTTAGTAGTTGTCATAAATTAAAAATTCGATTTACGAGTAGTTTATTTTCAATAATGAATACGAGTTGATGTGTGTGCAATTTACTGGTTAACACGTCTGAGGGCGCCGTTGTGGCGTCACTCGCTTCAACATTTGTCATCTTCTGATCGATCAATAGATCAATGTTTACGGTTTCATTATCAGTAACGGAAAGAAATAGGTTCGAATTCAATATAGTTACTGGGCGTTGCTGGAACAGGAGAAAACACAAATAAATTAGGGGAAGGAACTAGCTGCCCGAACGTGTGGTACGACATCTACCGGCGACGCTCGTCACGTGTTAAACTTATAACTAATAATTGACGATTACTGATTCGAGGGTGAGTTCAATTCGGACTGATGAAGGATTCATTTTTAGTGGACAAGTGCTGTTTGAGCGATTCGTCTTTGGACGCAGCAACAGCTTGAAGCGTTTTTTCTTGCACAAAAGATCTCCAAAGTTGTCTTCAGAAGCATACGGAATTAGCCTGCAGAGGCGGTCATTTGCTGATGATGCACACAGTGTTCGAAGCACTTCGCTAGCTCTTTCCACTTGTATGATTGGCAATCGCTGATGGCTAAGCATGGATAAAAGTTCCTAAACAATGTTTCCAAGAAAAGCAAAAGTAAGAACTCAAGAAGTCGATCCACGACCTCTTGTTCGTCGGCCCGGCCGCTGCCACTGCACTATCTCGCTTCATAACTACGTTCAGAGAATCGTTTCGCAGATTTGGAGAGCAGATTCGAGATCAGCGTCCAAAAACACATCTAGTGGTGTATGTCTCGTTACAAATGGCCACTTCGACCTGGTATCCTTCCTTGTGAGTTTATTCGTCTTTTGAGGTAGCTTCGGCGATTGATTGTACCCTTTTACGGCTTCCAAGTGCATGGGAGCTCATATCACCGTATGCTTCACCTCATCCTCCTTGTTGCACACCTTGCATCAATTCCACGTTAGTGTCTGCGTCTGTGCGATCTCTATCCTTTCTCGTCTCTTCGACGTCCGGGTCTGTTATGCAGACAATGAAATGCTGCGTAGGAGTGATCTATGAAAAGAGAGCTTTATTGAGGGCGTTCCTCATGGTTAATCTTGCTTGTATCTTCATTGACGGGTTACACAGCAATACATAGTGTAATGTTTGAATCCAATATCCAAATACTGCTATTGTGGAATGGAGCCTCAAAAAATGAATGCTCAAGGGTTTTGTGAGTTTTGTTCAATGGTTTGGTGTTTTTTTACGAATGATAAAAGCAAAAAGAGCTGCCGAAAGCATTTTGTGCCTTGTACGCACGTACGGCAATGAAACACGAACACTGATAAGAGAAAGAATGAAAGTTTAAGTTAGCGAGACGCACATGGTGCCGATGACGACAATTTCAAGGTGGGTAACAGAAGCAACATCAGACATTAACAGCTTCTCTTTTCTTTCGAACGAAAAACCTCACATCTTATTTGGGGGTCAGCATAACATTTTCGCGCAAAGGCTGCGCTCCTTTAAACTAGCTAGAAATGTGATGTTGATGAAAACCTACTGGGCAAGTATTCGTACCGTGGTATGGTAGGGAATACTTGCTCACTAGGTTTCTCGTCACTAACACATCAGATATTGGCAGAAGAAGAATAACTAAACAGATTTGTACTAGAAGTTCTGCGCTAATTTTAAGAGATTTCTATCTTTCTATTGCGTTTGTGTATTCTGCTTCTCTAGCAATGTATCCGTTCCGTCTTACATTTCGCCTACCCACTCTGTCTCTCCTGTTTTCTCTGCCACCTTAATTTCTCATGAAATTTTTGCTTAGTTCCCTCTATACAGTTTCCCTACTTACTTCTATCACGCCCTCTTTATGAAAAGCGTCCTACTTGTCTGTCGCACTAGCTTACCGTGTTAATCTTCCAGTTGTCAGCGTTCAAAGCAGGTTTCATTTCTAAAGTATTTTTGGAACAGTTTTTGTTTGCATTCGTGGGAGATATGAACGGAGTGTCAACACAAGCTGTTTTTTCTTGGCGACCGGAGTACCAGGAATTTTTCTGGATTTTGTGATTTCGGAACTGTCGATCTGTAGCATAACATGCATCGGTTACGGTCAAAGATCCTGCGTAGCCTCAGATCGTTTCTTGTAGTAGACTCATATCTTAAATTACGAATAATCACTCGTGACTTTCCCTCTCTAAATTTCTTCTTCTATTCAAGAACTATTGTTTTATTGCTTGATGGTACCTCTCTTCTTTCAATGAATTGATGCATTTCCTTTAATCCGTAAAAATTGCTAACTGTATTTTGTGAAATTGGTTCGGACTACGGCCTCTATTCGTTTGGCATCATAATGGTCTTTTTCAAGAACCTTTGTTGGTGTCGTACAGAGCCTCTGCTAACAAACGGGACGGATGTTTTACTCCGGCACGCGCAACAGGAAGCTGACGGTTTAGCGGATGTAACTGCGCAACTAGGCTTCAAGAGACCTGGGTTATTTCGATTCCTTTACATTTAATGTTTTTTCTTGAAATTTAATATAAGGTTCTTTTTATTTGAATTTGTTATTTGTTTTCTGACAAGTTCGATAGGACCTTTTTAAAAAGCGGAACAAACCGTTAATATTTTGGTTTATAATGATTTGTCTTTCTTATTGTCGTATATCAATTAGCATTGTTTTTTGGGTGTTTTTGTGTTTAGTTTTCTCAAATAGAGCAACTTATCCCTGGTTAGTCCGTATTCTCGATAGAACATCGGTTTTCAATTGTTGCGCTGCGGGGGGCACAAATAACGGTTTCTAATCTTCTCATTAGCAGCGCAGGTGTCATTTTGATTTGCATTTCATTGATGTCCGTGTATTGCAGTGTCTGCTCTATCGAAAAGTGCAGGAGGCTCAACGCCGCTCGCATATGGCCGCTGAGCTGCTGGTGCAAGGATCCCAGTTGCTTGTAAGAGTTTTTTTTTCGCTTTTTGTACACTTTTTATTTTGATTCGATGTCCTTTCCTCATTGATGTTATTCTCAGATATCTGAAGAAGATGTCAATCGACTCACGGACGAGCCCATCAAAGCTGGAGGTATTAGGTACGTTGGATATCGCTTCCGATTCCGATTCGACTTGTTTGTCTTATTGCTTTTTCTTCGAAGGTTTTGGAGTCCCCATTTTGATCGCTTCTACTTTTCACCACGTTCTATCGGTGACGGCGACGCTTACATTGCGGCTTCAATGACAATGTTCGAAGTGAGTAGTAAAATTTAGCTTTTTGGAATCTTTTGGATGCTTTTCTATGTATGGCGGGCTAGAAAACTTGTTAGGGCAAACTACTTGGAGGAGAGACTCAGCTTGAGAATCGGTGTTTATTCGGCGAAATGAGTGCTATCAACGACATTTTCACTGGTTGCTACTATATGCAGCTTTTTTCAGGATCTTGGATTTACTGCCAGGTATAGCATGAACAAACGAAAAGTTAGCTTCATTTCTTTTACGGGTCGCCAAAGGATATCGCGAGGTAATTTTTTCGATTTTTTCCACTTTTTGTTTATTTTGTGGGTACACGCAGGTTGATTTGCAGCCAGTATGAGTCAATGGGATGCGGTAATCATTAGAAGATACCTATACATGCGTAAACGCCAATAGAGCTGCACGGCTTGCTCAGAGCATAAATTTTCCTTGGCGTGCGTCGAGCATTCTTTAGGGTTTTAATGCACCCCTTTTTGAATAATGTGGTCTTTTTCTCAGAAGCCGTTAACTCCTAAGTGTGAGTCCAGATGCATGGTCCATTTTTGGGATGTGTGTACTGCAGTGATTCACTCATTTTGTGCTGGTTACAGGGTTACCAATTCGGGTCAGCAATTCGCTGCGTGCTAATTTTCAATTTTCAAGTGTGATGAATTTCTTTTTTATTTCCTTCAGTGAAACAAATGCTAGTAAGATAACGCTTAAAAATGGATCACGTTATGTATTGGAGATCTTAGCGCTCCTCCATCTTGTTTTCGGCACTGTTATTTTGTTTCAAATATATTCTGCAAAGCTTGAAACTCAGACGTATCAAGCTTTCAACTCTATATTTCTACACTGGAAGGAAACTTATACTGAAAATGCCTTGCAAATTTTGCACTGGTTACAGGGATTTTCCAGATATCGTATCACAATTGGTTTCTGGTTTACGTGTTCAACATCAGATGGTAGCTTTCAAAGTTTGAAATATGTCCCGATCTTCGCATATTGACTTCCATTACGTATTTCGAGTTTTGAACTTTGAATTATCATCCAATTCCTGGCAGTGACAATCCTTATATTACAATCTATTTCTTGGCTAGTGTTATCACATCATCAGTTCGATTTTCCAGGTACCGTACCATAATTGGTCACACGCGTTCTCGGTGGCGCATTTCTGTTGGATCAGTCTGCGAACTCCTGCAGTGCTGCATGGGCTCGATGAATTGGAACGGTTAGCGCTGTTGATCGCATGCCTTTGTCACGACATTGATCATCGGGGCACGACGAATGCATTTCAGTTGCAGTCGGTATGCTTATTTCTATTATAATTTATTGCTTTTATCTTTTTCTTTATCTTACTTTATCCTTTTTAACTCTTTTCCATTTGTTCTTTTCTTTTTTATTTTGTTTGCTTATAATGACCTTTGTCCCAGCAATGTCGTTATAAGCATGACTCTGGTCAATAAGGTGATCCCCTAGGGCCCTACATGAAAGTGGAAAGGCGGTGCGGCGGTGGTATGGTGAGTTGTGGTAACGATCGAGTGACGAGTTTGATGCCCGTTTTGTGAAGTCATAGGGAAGACTTCTCCAACTTAATTGGAGGATTGCTGCAAGGTTCACAGCGGTGGAGTCTGGGGAAGCGTATTGGTCATATTTGCTGCTTCAGAAAGAAAGGACCTCAGCCTTCCTTTTTTCTTTCATGCGGCACAGCACACCATCTATTAAATGGGCATCTTTTTCGTGCTTCAAGTTTTTCCCGTCAATCACTTGAAATGTGCGGTTGTAATTCCGCAACCTCTTCTTGTTTTACGACCTTGCCCAACACGTTTAAATGGCAGGCTTTCTTCTAGTTAGGGTTATACTAGGGTCATTGATGTGTTAACCAAGGACTGGAGAAAATGAATGTGAGGGCACCTCTTTATTAGTATTGAACACATTTACGCCGATGACAGCCCTCCTTTTGCTGTAATTTCACTTCTTTTCGAGGAGATATTGAGAAATAGTATTGTGTTGTAAGATTGGAATAGCTGGGTCAGTTTCAGGGTATTCTCCGGAAATTGTCAACAGCTTTAGAAGACACT